GATTTTGTGGAACCACAATAAAACGATGTGGATAGTATTACTCCACCTCTCTATGAATTTCATGATAAACTTAGAAAGTTTTCACCATCTTTGACCAGAACAAAGCCGATCTATTTAACAGGCAATGTAGCACAGGGTTAGTTTGATGGAGGAGATTGTCAGAAAGTCCATTTCGACCTAGCACTCGACAGTAAGGTGTAACAGAATCCTCAATGGAACTGATAGCCTGTCTGAGATTCATATCCATGTCACCGATTGCTGCAGACAGAGATGTTACCACTGAGTCATTCGGATATGGACTAGACCCTTGTAGGTCTGGATTAAGTATAATAACTGGTCACTGGAAGGTAACAAATTTCATGTTGCCTAGCTCCAAACTTTGGCTGAATTCTTAATTGGTCCTAATGTTTTACCCCTTAACTTTGAAATCTTCCACATAATGTGTAGTATCTTTCTATTTCTAGACATACTTTGCATTAAATCACTGTTTAATTATTAGAAAAACCAGTGCCGAAGTCCCCACTAGTGTTTAATTGCAGTGTCTAAAAAGATGTACAGGGTTTGTTAACCAGCAGCCAGTATTAAGTTCCCAGTTCGAAGACGCTGTCCCGAGATGTGACTGTTGTTGATATCAGTATGGCGTTTCGGACTTTGGCATCTGTGGGTGCTAGACATTATACTGATGTGAACGCGACATATTTCACCAAATGTTAGTCCACTATGTGGGTTTATATATATATATATACTACGAAAGATACATTTTATTCATTGGATTGCACTTACTCTGTATTGTTTCATTCATTCTGGTTTGGAGAGTAGCTGTTGACTACAAATCTGAGATGGCTAAGTATTATTATTATTTATTATTTGTCCCTCGGGTTCCTAATGGAACATACAACTTCACTAGCACATCTACATTCCACTCTCTCCTCTGCAACCCCTACAACATGGTTCCATGACAGCCCACAATCTCTCATTTCTTCCTCACACCATCTCCTCCGTGTCACCCTCACATCGAATGCCCAACTCATCGCTTCCAGTCGGGGTGCCACTCGACCACCTGGTGTCTGGCCTGATGCGTGATGTCCTCAGTTGGCCTTCTCACTGTATGCCCAATCCATTCCATCTCCACTTCCGCCCACTGCATATTTGTTGAGTGATAGGTTCTTGCTTCCTTGGTTTGTTGCCAGCCAGCCAGAGTTCCTTCTTGCTTATTCTCATTATTCTGGTCATCTCATCTTCAGTAACGAGCCAGCATAGACAGCAGCTGTTCATGAATGTCTGTAATTTGCTGGAAATGCCTTTCGTAACGCGCCAAGTCTCTGAACCATCAGTTAGAAGTACTGACTGACTTGACTGAATTCGTGTTGAAAATCCGGATGTTGTTCATGCTTTACGCTGAGAGGAGTGCAGTAGATCTCTACAGTGGTTTCAGGCTAATGAACGCCAGTCTTGCTTTTCCGATCCTGGCTGGCTTTGACGTCCTCGTCTGTGCCTGTGCTACCTGATGTTGAAACGATGCTGCCTAGATAGGTGAAAGAGGCCGCTTCCTTTTAGTTTCATCCGTTGATGGTGATTGGAGCTTTCTGTGAAATGACTAAGTATTTGCATCTATTTATTTAAGGTCTCTGAGCATTTGAGCTTATTTGAAACAACCTGGCTGCTTTATGACAAGAAGTTAACTTGACATACCTAGGCACTCAAAGTAAGTGATATTTCTTTTAAAAATCAGTCCCACTTGATTTTTAGTCATTCGATATATTTTGCCTATTAACCGGAAATAGTTCTGGAACGTTCTGCCTACTGTGACGTATATTTACGAAAATGTATAGCTTAATAAATGACTTCGTTGAAAAGAGAATGTTTCTCTTCTCTGTAACCACGTCTTGTCTTTTCCTATGATCAAATGGGTGTATTTCGCTGTTTTTCCAAACAGTGCAGCCATAACAAATTAAAGTTAAGAGTCCAGAAATCATAAACTCCAAGAAGCATAATTTATCGCTATGATCCACCTCGGTGAAACCCTATTGGTTGACACATCTTTCAATCTAATTCAACCTTTTATTTCACTATTGTTTATGTGACTACATTTGGTGATATTGTGGAGCATGGATATTTAGTCCTAACCAATTTAGATAATATTTTCAACCTTATAACCAGTATTTTTTTTTACTTTAAGAAAGTAATCAGCTACCAGTCAGGCATCTTTAGACATTCCCGTAGGATGTATGATGCATCTAATCGAGATGCGTGTAAAACAGCTTTATTGTACACAAACTAAACATTTAAAAATACTTGAGGTAATTACACTTTATATTGATGAAACAGGTGTACATTTTGTACACCAACTTGTCACCGTTGGGTGACCGATTTAGCTGCCTAGTTCTTGATGGTTACTCAATACTCATCCAAGTTTACCTATCAAGTTTACATTTGTCCATTAAACCATTAGGCGTGATACTGAGTCACATTGTATTTCAGTGTTGAATGGTGGGAAGAAGCTGCGTTTGACCAACGACTAGTGTTTGTTGGCACTCACTGACAACGTTTATCTGCAATCATCAGGAAACTGAAGTTCCCTCGGGGATTTGATTCTGAGTCACTCATTGCTGAAGTCCAAAACTGAATCAGTAAGCTATTTTGGCAGTGTTTGATCTTTTCAAGGACTAGACTAGACATAATTTACCATTGACTTTTAAGTAATCAATTTAATTTTGTCTAGTCTTAGTAGCCGACCAAATTTTATCGCACTGGGTGGTGTGGATTCGAACATCTCGGGGAACCTCAATCCCCTTGAGGTTGTAAAAATGCTTTGTTGACAAGTGTCAAAAGCTACTAAACCTACTTTGGGCAGGGCTTCTTACCTAAAGCTTCCTACATACTAACATCAATCCAAGTTAACTAGGATGAAAAAAATCAGGATTGAAGGGACTCCTAACTGCTGAAGGTCTGACAAGCACAAAACGTGGGTCAAAACCCGCCTACTCCGATTGCTTACAATTGTCTCGGATTGATAAAGTTAACCGGTATTGGCAGTGAGGAGGTTAGAACTTGTCCTAGATTGGGAAAAGCATAAGACCAGGTTTTTGGTTGTGTTGTTTTCTCTGAGATGGGCCGTTTAATCATAGAGTTTTAATTGTCTTTCTAGACAATGTCATCAGCATTAACTTTGATCTAAAGTGAGCTGTCGATATCTTTAAGTAAGAGATTTAGTAGCTTGCTCAGTTCGTTACGGTAGGTCTGACCACCCAGTTCAGAAAACACAACATAAGCCAGATCATCCACCTGAGTGACATAAATTTTACCCCATTTTATAGACCAGGTTTATATGTTTTCTATAATACAAGAAACTGTACTACTGTAGAATATGTTGGTACAATTTTCAGTGAGGAAATTCCCTCTCATTAAATGATTATCTCTGGGTCTGTTCTATCTGGAGAACTATTGCTCTCTGAGTGTAAGTGTGGTACCTTATTTGCTTAAAGCGTTTGTTCCGTGATAACCATAAGTAAGACATTGTTGAGAGAGAGAGAGAGAAATTCTGTCTCACGTCACCCAGTGAGTTTACTGCCTAAGTTCTAGTTTAGAGTTTTTGTCGAGATGATGATGGCAGTATTTAAGTCAGCACTTTCTTCAGGAACTTTATTATCCGGTTAAACTTAATCATGAAATTTCGGTTGCATTATCAGTCAGTGAAATTTCTAGGCTTCAGCCTATTATAGGTCGTTGGGTGTGGTTAGTAAGCATCTGTCAGTTCCGCATCTAGTCAGTGTTGGTGATATCAGTACGTCTGCTGGTGAAACTCCAACACTCAAATATCGTTGCTGAGTACACTGAATAGATCCCATCCTTATGTTCAGCTAAAAGAATTTTACACTATTTCAAGTCTAGTCTTAGGATGAGTCATGTTTATTCTTGTTCTACTGAAGAAAACCTAAGCCCTGAAGATAGTGATTTTGATCTTGACGCGATCAGGAGTGAGTACTGCCTAGAAGTCATATATTAGAACGAAATAGTTGCTCATTTCTCCCAAGAATTAATGGTTCTTCAACTGGTACCAGTCCGTGATGGAATAAAGTTATTATCTAGTGCGTATAAATGACTTGCTTCCAGGTAAGACTTCTCGAAGCTGCCATGAGAAGTTTTAGTTGGTGGGGCTGACCAAGTCACAAGAGGTTTCATTATACTATAGATTGAAAGAAGGAGGAAAACGGTGGACTCCTGTGTAATGACTCTCTGGTAACATCCTGACGATAAGATCTGGGTACCCACTGTCACAGAGTCCCATGGTGGGACGAAATACCTGTCCAGTGCATTCAGGCTCTCTATCAAATGTCAGTTCATGATGAATTCCCACTTGTAAGTACAATAACCAACTACACTTCTCTCATTACTATAATAGAAGTTTTCCACTTTACTTGTTATGTATAATGTGAAGGTAGTTTATAACATTTGGAAATAACATCGAACGCAGTACCACTGGAGATTAAGTGAAAGATAATAGTCATGAAAGAACAACTTTCTCCTGTTTTCTTGTTCTCAATTGATTCTCTAACCAGTTAACAAACATTTAAAGTTATTTAATTAGTCATCTCATGGAAACATGGGTCAAAAGGTGAGGCTATTTCCAGGAAACAGTGCAAATCACAACAAAAAAAAAACGCAAAGCAAAATGAAGGACTAAAAAAACTTATTGGATAGAACTTAAGGTAATATTATAAAACCTTAAGTTTTCAATGCACATTCTTTTTTTTTTCTCATCGTTCATCATTTTACCTCATGAAAATGTTGCCTACAACCTTTTAAGATAATTTATCAATAAATATTGAAACATTGAATAAAAGAATAAAACATATTTTATGTCATTATTGGTTTGAATATGTTCCTTATTCAAGTTGACAGAACCATGAATAAATTGTGTATACAACTTTAAAAGGCACCTAACTTGTCAGTATATATATATATATATATATATATATATATATATATATATATATATATATATATATATATGATAATTAGCTTGTTTATTTTGCTCATATGATTTAATTGTAAAACTGGCACATTGATATCAACAATTTGATACTGTTCAGTTGAATAGTTTGAATTGTTTATACACAAGAATTGTACATATCCTGCATAGTTGAATAGTTTAAATGATGTGAACTATGTTCATATTGTTCTTGTTGATGTGTTGTATCATTACAAAAATTTAACAATGGACAATTATTAATACAATATAATGTATTATTGTCTATAGTTGATATAGCAGAATGTGATCCATTTACTCCAGTAGCTGTGACATTAATAGTTGTAGTACTGATATGTTCATTCATTTTAGCTGTTGTCATTAAATTAGGTATTGATTGAAAAGGTGGTGTTGGACTATTTCTCATATTGATCAATTGACATTGTGAACATATTTCTGATTCATAATTACTCATATATTCACAACATGGAGGTTCTTGTCTTTCTATTTGATTACTAGAATTATCATTGTCAAGATTTTTTCCGTCTATTGAGGGTAATAATTCCAGTTTCTTAAGTATAGGTGAGGTAATTGGTTTTTTAACAGGAGCTGTTGTACAACTACATTGTTTTTCTCTTATCAGAGTTGTATATCCTTCATTTCTTTGATTAATTGGCAAAGATTTTAAGTGATAATTGAATTGTGTAAATCTTCGTGTACATGGTGGTGTCAAGAAACGATATGGTGGGGGAGGTTGATGATATTGTTGCAGTAAATGGTTTTGTTCATTATTTATTGCTGAATAACCATTAACTGATTGATTCTTCTGTGAGATTATTGAAGAATCATTCGGATGTGTATGCTCAATTGTCGTTGTATAGGCTAAAATATTTGGATTCGATTTGAATTGATAAAGATGTTGATGATCACATAACTCATAATTTTGAGAAGTTGAATTGAAGCAAGTATTGTTTACTGTGTAATCAGTATTGTCTAGAATTTTTCTAAGGGGATAATTATGAAAGCGTGGCATTGATGGTATAAAGTTCACATTTTTTGATATTCTCACTGGTGAACTGGATTTGTTATGCGGATCTATATGAAGAGAGAGAAAAAAAGGAAGTAAGAACTGAAGATAGTTATCTTTCCACTAAAAACTGGACTTTATAAACCAGTCAATCAGATCAATATTAAGATAGGACTATGTATTTTTGATCAGTGAACAAAGTTGCCACACCTCATATCTGCACAACAAGTAAAAAAACAATCAGAAGAAAGATGAAGAAAGAGGGAAAAATCGGTAGAAAGCAGTGAAAGGGAGAAAAGGATGCGATTAAGTACAAGGGTTAAGATAAGGTTAGTGTATAGATACATCGGCACTACTGACAATGATCCTGGTCTCCAGCCCCTAGTTTCCGTTGTCGTATGGATCACAGTCGGCTAGTCTGCATCTCCTAACATGGCTCAAACCAGCAGTCAAGGACTTCATGCATTGATTCCCTGTTTTAATTTGGTCATAGAGAGCCTCTTATCATGCTCAAGCCTACTTTAGCCAACATCGAACGACTATGTAGACGGTGACTATTCATGTGTAACACATTTCTTAGCCATCTCAGTCGATAAAGGTTCATGACTGTATCAACTGACTTTTCTTTCCATGTGGTGACACCATGACAAACCGCTTATACTATGAAGGCAATAGAGGTCAAACACCTGAAAACTTCTCATGTTATCTGCCGTTAATGATCTCTTTTCCTAGTCATAGAGTACAACAGGGTGAAGTGCAGTATATTACACTCGACCCTTAATAGACAGTCGGATATCTCAGTGACGCAACAGATGGCATAAGCTGGCTAAAGCCAATCAGACTTTCGGTATCTGTGCACAGATTACGTCCACGAGTTCTCGAGTATAGAGTCTTCAACATAGTGTTGTACTTACTCGATACCTTTTTCAGTGAGAAACATTACCAAAAGACCTCTATATGGAAGGAGTTGGATGGGCCTTCAGGTTGACAAATACAGATAGAATCGGGTGTCGATAAGTGTACCTATGTTTCAGGACCTGGTGGACTGTTAGTATCTGGTCGACCAGGTATGAGGATTGACTGTGGTAGTAGTTATGGCATGTAGTAGTAGTTTCTAGTAAACTTCAGTCTATGTATAGACTGAGAATCAGTAAAGCTGAAAATTAAAACAGTCGCGAGGTTGAATTGCAGACTGAAGTTTTTAGGTGACTAGTAAACGCTTTGACCAGATGAATCAGGTGGCTAAATGTTTATTCAAACTCCAACCAAACCTAACTTATATAGACGAGTGCCCATTTATCATACAGGTAACTAGGAGACATGTATTTAGTCGCCTCATTTTTAAAATGTTAGGAGCATTGTAAACGCACTGTGAATGTTGACTCATTCCGTTCCTGGTAACCGTTTCCAGGCTGCCTTCCTTGTAATTTCTGTAATATAATCTATTATCTATTGGTTTTGTGATTATTTTCTGATCGATCGTTTTGTTTTCTTCGCTCTCATACTGGTTAATACTGTTTCAACCATCTTATTCAATAGCTTGCCTTCAGATTAGATGAAGTCCTACTAAACGGCTGGTGTTACAGTGTGTTTGATCACCTAGTTAACGTAAGTTGTCGCTTTCATTGTGCTGCAGTCATTATTATCGGTCCAAATCTATCCTTAATTAAATAAACTGTGACCGCTAAGCTACATTAGATTAAATTATGATAGTTAATAGCCGCCTCGTTTAAGGTGTTCAGTATATACAAAGTTAAGTTAGTTCAGGTTACTTAAAACCACAACAAAATGCTTTTCCCTCCTGAGATTCAGATTAACAGCATCTAGAGGCGGTAAAAGTTACTTTCAGGTTTAGTGTGTATGTTAACATATCCCCTATATTCTGTTATCAGCTTCAACATATATTCAATGGACTTCAGTTAGTATTTAACGCTCTATTGATGAGTTCAACTTTCATGTACGTTTAGAAGAAAGATTCCATTTTCAACTCTTCAAAAGTATCGCTTCTGGACCAGTCCAACTATATTCATTTTTGTAGGGGTAAGCATCCAGATTTTCCAACTTTAGTTGGAAATGGCTTCGCCCTATTAAACTACCATCTGATCAATAGTATGATAGTTCATAATAAACAACTACGCAGTGTTTCTGTATCGCTAGACGTTAATAAAATTGACACAAATCAGCTGTAGAGTAGCTAGGTCAAATTGAAGACTGACTGCAACTCATTTAGTTGTATTCAAACAAAACAATATGAAAGCGTCATTTATCTGAATGATGTAGCTTAATTAAGTGACACATTCTAGACCAATTAATTCACTTCTTTGTGAAGGTCTGATGGATTGATGGTGATATATAGAGTGATATCGAAACTTTCGCCAGCTAAAACTCTAACTGAGAGAAAAATCACTATCAGATATCTAACAGTCTAGTTATGCATCGACTATATGAGGTACAGGAGTATATACAACTAATATGTGGATGTGAAAATGGTAATTAATTTCTCGTCTTCACCCTGCGTATTGTTTAGTCGGTACTATGATAGATCAATAAAACGATCTGTCTACAAATGAGCTGCAGTTAGATGCTTCTTCAAAAAATCTAACGAGTATGCACAAAATACGCTTTCGATGAAAGTATGAGACTGTCAACAGGAACCGTACTTCAGAATAATTGTAAAGCAAATAAGTTTCAATCGATAGACAGCTGTTAAGGAACCCAGGTATACAGTCTAGAAGAAAGGAACATTCATAAAACTTCTATTTATTGATTACAGCAATGGTTTAATTGTCTCTGGTAGTTGACAGTTTGCTGGTGTATGGAGCCGTAAACAAGGAATAAGTGATTAGGATTTGTCTAATTGTTCACAGAAGTTCGCTATCTACTATTTGAAACAATTAATCCCTTTAATTAATTTCGATAACGTGATTAGAAGATGAAGACTATCTGAACAAACTGTGTGATGTGTATTTGCGCAATACATTTCGAACAATCTGATCCACCACACATTTACTTGTCAAGTCAAATCAAAGACCAAATATAGTGAGAATGAAAAGGTTGTGACACTAGTCTTGGTTATATAATCAGATTGCCAAGCATTACAAAGGTAAATTAAGTGAAATAACAAATTGTTTTTGTACATACAGTGGGAGATTAAGTTTACGAATGGCTAACAACGCTTCGGTAAACTTCAATATACACCCCTGATTATTCCTGTATAATATCTTGAAGGCTGTTTTCGTATTAACCCTGTGATTCATTTCAATGAAGATGTTTTGCTATAGATGACGATGGATGTTTGTCACATGCACTTATCAAAGTTTGTGTGTTAAACTGTTTTCCTAGTCATTTGGGGATGTGTGATAATTCTTAAGCCTGATAAAGGATCAGGTTTTGTGTTGATGGACAAAGTAGACTACAAAAATAAAATATTGTCTATTCTTTGTGATGAAAATAAATGCTTGACAGATTTTCCGTTAGAGGATATAAGAAAATTAGAAGGAAAAGTAATAACTAGTCTACTTAAACTCCATAACATGGATGTTATTGCTAAAGCGGAGTTTAATTCCTTCAAACCCATGGGATCTAATTTCTCAAATCTATATGGACTTCTAAAAATTCACAAAATTGATAATCCACTACGCCCAATACTGTCAATGTATCAGTCTCCCACACACAAATTGGCAAGATGGTTAGCCGAATTACTGAGCCCGATTAATAATGATTTATTGAAGTATTCACTGAAAGATACGTTTGAACTTGTTGATTATCTTACTGATTTGAATATTAAAAATAAGAAAGTGTATTCTTTTCATGTCAACTATTTGTTTACTAATGTGCCTCTAACGAAGACAATTAATATTCTTTGCGACTACATATCTTCGAATTATCCTTCTTTCCCTATTCCTTCAATTTATTTGAAAGAACTCCTTTTATTATGTACTGATAAGGTTCATTTCACTTTCGAAGGTGAACACTTTCGGCAAATTGATAGTGTAGCCAGGGGGAGTCCATTAGGACCGTTATTAGCTGACGTATATATGTCACATACTGAACTAATGGCTCAAGATTTAATCACCAATGTCACATTCTATAGAAGGTATGTGGATGATATCTTTGTAATATGTGACACAGATGAGGATTGCAAGAGTTTGTTAAAAAGGCTTAATACTGTACAAGATCATATCAGTCTGATATGTGAGGAAGAAAAAGACCATCAACTTGAATTTCTTGATATAGTCTTGTGCCGGAGGGAAGATGGATCTATAAGACGATCAGTATATAGGAAGCCTACTTGGATAGGACAGTATTTGAATTTCTACAGTTTATGTCCGATGAAATATAAGAGAAGCTTGGTAAGATCCTTGTTCAATGGAATCCAACGTATTTGTACATCTGATACGATGGATGGTGAGAATAAGTTTCTGACAAACACTCTAATGGAGAACGGTTATCCATTACAGTTTGTCAACCATTGTAAAAAACAGTTGACCCCAAAGCCTATAATTTCCTCTGTCCCGAAGAAAAGCATATTTCTCAAAGTACCATACAGAGGGAATACAATTAGTATGATATTGAAGCAGAGATGAAAATCTGTTTTTAGTAAAACATACTATGCAGCTCAGCTTATCATTGTTGAGACGACAAAACACCTGCTTCGCCGCAAACCTCGAACTCGCACAAATGATTACATCACATCTCACTGTGTTTACCAATTTACATGTGTGTGTGTGTGTGGGGGGGGGTACACATACATAGGGAGGAGTAATCGTTCAGTGCGGACTAGGGTGGGTGAATACATCCTCAAATGACTAGAAAAACAGTTTAACACACAAACTTTGATAAGTGCAGGTGACAAACATCCATCGTCATCTATAGCAAAACATCTTCATTGAAATGAATCACAAGGTTAATACGAAAACAGCGTTTAAGATAATATACAGGAATAATCAGGGGTGCATACTGAAGTTTGCCGAAGCGTTGTTAGCCATTCGTAAACTTAATCCCCCGTTGTGTGTACAAAAACAATTTGTTGTTTCACTTAATTTACCTTTGTAATGCTTGGCAATCT